CATGTAGATGTACTACATGACCTTTAAAAGGCCTCTTCCAATTCAAACTACTCTATGATTCTGTGTAGAAGAGTGAAGGAAACAAAACCAAGAATGAACAGGCAGGTATCAAATGTTTCATGGTACTTTATGTATGTCCTGACAAGCAGAGGAAACATAGTTAAAATAAAAGTAATATGTAAGAATAGCATATATTCAAGGAAAGCATAGTGAAAGGTCATAGTAAGTCATACATATTATCAGAAAAAACTCCCAGGAGAAAAGAAAAACAAGGGAAACTGCAAAAGGAAAAAGATTAGCTGAACTGTAATTTGGGTAGATAAAGACACTGGAGTGCAGTATCACCTGATCAAATTAATGACAGTTGTCTAAAACCACCTGCAACTCTCAATAATTCTGGAGAGTCATGTGTTTTCTCAGGTTTTGAGGAGAATGGGAAAATACAAAGTAGGATATGGCATTAGGGTTTATTATTTGCTTGTTAGACGTGATTCAGGAGGTCATACTGAATTCACTGTTTCATGCTTTTGCATTATTTGAGTGACTGCATGGCAACTAGACACTTGAGAAGGCCATTCTTGTTTGTTTTAGAAATGAAAGCAAACGATGAAACTGTGCAATGGGAAGTATCCTGCATATCTGGCAGCAGTGGTTTCATGCAAACCTGAAGAGAAAAGCCTTGTCACACTGTTTCAGCTGAGTGTGAAAGTCAGTATCTGGCAAAATACTTACTGTAGTGATACTTTGGGTATTGAGACAGTAAGAGAGAGCAAAATGCTCAGACACAGTGCTACTATGGCTGAGGAATAATTATGCAAACATGTTTTCAGCTTCAGATTCAGGATTTTGAAGGCCATTCATTATCCTCTCAGTGTAGTGACTTGATGAATTGCCACAGATATGAGACAGCTTAAAGAACAAGTATCACTGAAAGTGTTTCTCTTTTTGTCTTTACTCATCTTACTCCCAGCCTCTGCTCACTTACTCTCCCATACCTTTTCATCTTGCTGTATTTAAAAAGATGCAACATTGTCTTTTGCCTTACTTGAAGGGTGTAAAGAAGGGGGAGGGAAGTCACTGCTTTAAGGTGTCCAGTCATCTAAGTTGTAACTGAGGATGCTAATGCGTGGGTCGACATTCATTGCTTCAGAGATGCCTCTATGCCTTTTACAGGAAGAGCAGGTACTGAAGTTTTGTGCTGTCAAGATAGACAAAAATTGGATTTGGTAGGTGTATACTATTTTTGAGGGTTCTCTAACCAGGCAACAGGAGACAGATTGTCACAGATCTAACAGACCCATGAGTTGTAGATTGAAGATGGAATCTTGAGGTAGAAGTTTCTGCTGCATTGTAGCACTTAAATTTTTTGCTTGATGCATGAGAGCATTACCCTTAAATGTGAATCGGTATGTGTGACTGTGTGCAAATGCTACCATTTTTGCTGGACTATTGATTACTACATTCTGTATGTAATATGTAACTCAAAGAAATCAAAACTCATTATTGGTATCCAAAACTCAATATATACTTTTAGGGATGAGAGGTGAACATGACAAAAGAAGGAGGAATTGTAAACCCCATAGACTAAATGGAGCATGAAAGGTGAAAATAAGTGCTTCTTTGAAGCATTTTTCAGGTTTCTGGATTTTCCCTGGGTTTTCTGCATACTTTAGAAACCATATTCTTCACAGCTACTTAATAATCCCTCTTCCTTCCCATTACAATATATGGAAAGTGTCTCCAAAGTAAGTAGATGAAGGGGGGGTAGAGTAAGAAGACAAGGGCAAGACAGGAAGGACTGGCTGCAATTCTACATGTTTTTTCCCCTAGTTCACAATAGAACTTAACAATTTCATTTTACTGTACTTTCATTAACTTTGTTTCTTTGGATTTGCTGAGATCTTTTCTGGAGTGTAACTTTTCATTGCCTTTCACTAAACAATTTTCATGGCCTTTGTCTTATGTGGATGCCTTTGAAAGTAAATCAATTGGAGTAGGTTTTTTGAACTTGGATTTTCTTGACAAAATGGAAGTGCACAAAGTTGGATAAAGTAGTAAAAATGTTGCATTCAGTAACTCAATCACAATTTTTTTATCTTTGATGTCAAGTAATTAGTTTGCTGCACCTTCCCCCCACCCCCAAAGTTTTTTGCTGAAAGAAGAAAATGTAATTACAGAAATGTATAATGATGTTACAGATAATTTAGTATAGGCACACTTAATTTATCAGATTAACAATAAGTATGTGGTCAAGTTGAAGCGAAACTTTTCCACTTTGAACAGTGGAAATTTCATAACATGCACTGCAAATGCATATTGTCTTTAATGTATTTAAATATTTAATAGACATTAACTGCTTTCATGGTTGCTCTCATTCTGTCTGTCAAACTTCTTTTAAAATGCATACAGCAGACACTGTATGCTCTAGCATACACTGTGTATAGCATACAGCGAAAGACTTTTGTTTCCTTTATTATTCCATTCTTGTCATAGCATTTCTTGATTCATAAAATAAATTCATAAATAAATTCATATTATTCCGTTCTTGTCATAGCATTTCTTGATTCATTGGTAGTATAAGAACAAGAGTCATAGGCTCCCAGCTGAATCAAATTGTCTTAATTTTAGGCCTGCTCTATGTTATTGTCTTATGAATGTGATTCGTGTGATAGTTTGGATGAATGTGACCAGTGCTGTACAGTCAATATGGGATTTCATGTAGAAGCAAATAATGGGGACACAGTAGTTTGTTAAAGTGCTTGAGGAACAGAAAATATAGAAAGCTGTTGAAAGGAAGTTTTCACCATTAAATTGGTGAATTAAAGGGCAAACATTGAGAGAGAATTGGAAAGATACCAGCCATAAGAGGAATGGATTAAGGAACATAATACACAAAGTCAAATTTGAAGGAAAACAAAAGAGTGTGGAATGTTGAAAGTGCAGCAACATCGAAGTTTTCACTTCTTTAGTGGTAACACTAATTGAAAGATGGAGGGAATATTTTCAGCTGAGTGTGCAGAGCTTACCTCTAAGTAGACCCTGTCATCCATGAATCGCCCAGAATAACAAACTTCAGATTTGACCTTTAACTAACATGGAAATATCTTAAGAAAAACTGAAGTGAGTGTTTGTTTTATTGACCAAATGTTTATTGTTTTTATTAAAAGAAGTTATTGGATTTGGGAGCTGGGGGCTGGACTTTCTAAAATGTTCACAAGTTCAGCAGAGCCAGTTGTAGTAGTGTTTCAGCCTAACTGGGTACCATGTAACCAGTTGCCTCTACTCCAGTGAGCTAAATTTTTCGGGAGTAACTCACAGTAGCCACAGGCTTTCACTGGCATTAGCTCCTGCAGATCTTGGGGGAATTCTTTTATAGTAACTTACTCTACCTTAAGGAAGAAAAAAAATATGTCAGCAGCTTATTAAGGTAGAAGAGGAGCTCTTTGTGTGTATGGTGGTATTTTCGTGTTGTTCTTTTAGGTGTGGCAGTGAGGGTCTCTGTACTTAAAATTTCGTGCTTCCAGAATTAAATATGCCTTTTGTGCGTTTATTTGCAATTAGCAATACTTCTAACATTATTTCTGGTTCTCTGCAAAGACAAGCAATTTTATGACTTTCAGTGTATTTACAACATTTGGCTTTTTTCCCAAAGATATTAAAAATCTTCTTCTATGTTTGAACAGATGTGTAAACCAAAGTATTACTGCCTCATATACTTTGTTCTTGTTTAATACAAGGTAGATGGATGCACATTTATGGGGGTTTAAAAAACCTTTACAACAGGCATTGACATGGTTATGCTTACACTCTGGCTGATTTCCTGACAGAGTGACAAATATGCTAACTTCTTATCATAGTGAGATCTGAATACTACAAATATTAGTTCTTATCATAGTGAGATCTGAATACGACAAATATTTTTTCATGCAAAAATTTCATCAAACTAAACACATATTAAAACTGTAGTTGCTTTCTTCTTTAGAAATGCAGTTTCCAAGTGAAGCTCTGTATTATCCATGCATGCTTAAAGTCTTTGAAAAAAGGTTAACATCTTAAATGTATACAGAACTAACAAGAGAGTTTTAGAATATTTATGCTGTAGGTAATATCTGCTAATTCAATCTTTATGTTGTTACTAGCATGATACTATTACTGGGAGAATTGAGTTTTTGTCTTAAGGAGGGGCTTGGTTTCAGCTTTGTGTAGTGTAACTTATAACAGTGCAGTAAAATTGTAGTATTTGGAGTTGTGCATTTCTCTTAAAGTGAAAATTTATGCCTGTAAGTCCTGTAATATTAACATCTCTTTCTATATGCTAGTTTGAGTTTACTGACCAAAGTAATGAGTTGAGAACAGATGTGAGATCCTAAAGCTCGAGGACTTTGTGAACAGCCCATGAAGATATAAAGGAAATGGGTCAAGTAGAAACATATTGGGAAGAAACACTGTAGATCAGAACCCAAATTTTGAATTGCAGATGACAAGGTGTGAACACAATTTGTGTTTTCATCTCGAAAGTAGTGTTAGTAGGGGGACTTGAGGACAGCATTAAGCAGTTACTCTTTCCTGTGATCTCATTTGAAAACAAATGAAATGATAATGTTAATTTTCTGTGGTGGGTTTTTTTTCCTCAGTTTTTCCATGCTCTTCAGACACATTATTTACTTTTCTTATTTCCTTTGGCTTGACTATTGCAAAGGGGAAATTTTGATGAGAATTTGTGAAAAATAACTGAGGTGTAAATAGGATCATATTTTTGTTCAAGATATCAGAGAACCAAGACTTTCCTTCAGTGTCCCTGGAAGTTTGTGACTGAGTAGGGAGTCTGCATTGCAGCTCTGAATCCCAGACTTTAGTATTCAATCCATTGACTGCTAGCGAAGAGTGGCAGAATTTGGTGCAATAAAATTCATCATTATGTCAGACACAGCTGTTTTAACAATTTCCATGTCTCGTTTTACTAGAAAAATGATGAAACCCCAGAAGACTACACTGCAGAGAAGAAGGCAAGGCAAGAAATGTTGAACAGGAAAAAGGGAAGGCAAGAAATGCTGACTAACATTAAGCAACATCATCTGTATGTTATGCATCCTGTGACCCAGAGAAACAAAAAAATACACAGAGTTGGTTCATCCACCTTCTTGATTGGAAAAACACCCAAAGAAATACGCAGGTGAGACGATTTTGGTGAGGTGGAAGTAAGGTTGAAACAAACTTCGCTCTCGGCAGTTGCTTTTGTCTCTGTTTGAACCATGCTGATGGAATACTGATTATTTTCTATAGCAAGAACAGAATTAGTGGGAAACTTCCACCCAGACTACACTAAGAGTACTGTAATTAATTAGTAAAATTAATTGAACCCACAAATCACTTGAACATGTTGATTCAATGGTCATATATTACATAACTGTGCAGATGTCATCACCATGAGTGTTCATGGTATATGTGTCATCCACTACTACAAAACAGTGTTTAAAATGTACAGAAATGACATTTTATAGTGTGAGCATCTGTCTGCCTACTGCTTTTGCCCCGATCTCATTGCTTTCATCAAAATACTATTAAAAAAATTTGACTTCATGTTTATTTTTTAATGTGGGGCTCAATTTTTTTTTTCATATTTCTTTTAATATTTTTTTTCATTCATCATTTTTGGAGGGATAATTTTTCTGTCTTGTTAATTTCCCCGTTCTCCCAAGTGATTGCTTTTTCTAATATGAATATTAAATTCCATTGTTATACAGATAGAAGTTCAATAAAACATTAAGGTGGTATGTGGAAATGGAAAGTGGAAAGCTGTGGCTAAGCAAATTGTTGTTGTTTTAGTCCAGTGAGCCACCAAGCCCCTCACAGCTGCTTGCTCACTCCCCCACCAGCAGGATATGGGGAAGAGAATCAGAAGAGTAAAAGGTAGAAAACTCTTGGGTTGAGATAAAGTTGGCTTAATAGGGAAAGCAAAAGCCACGGACACAAGCAAAGAAAAACAAGGAATTAATTCACTGCTTCCCATGGGCAGGAGGTGTTCAGCTCCTCCAGGACAGCAGGGCCCCATCATGCCTAACAGTTACTTGGGAAGACAAATGCCATCACTCCAGATGTTTCCCCCTTCCACCTTCTTCTTCACACCTTGTATACTGAGCATGATGTCCTATGGCATGGAATATCCTTTTGGTCAGTTTGGGTCACTTGTCCCAGCTGTGTCTCCTCCCAGTCTCCCCTGCAGCCCCAACTTCCTTGCCAGCACAGGGGCATGGAAAGCAGAAAAGGTCTTGGCTCTATGTCAGCACTGCTCAGCAATAACACAGACATCTCTGTTCTGTTAACTCTGTGTTCAGCACAAATCCAAAACACAGCCCCATACTAGCCACTGTGAAGAACGTTAGCTGTGCCCCAACCCAAACCAGCATGCAAACCTACAGAATGGGTATTTGGTATATATTTTCAATTTAGCCTTGAGACAATTAAATTACTATGTAAAAGTTGGTATCTAGGTAATGCCAGTAAGTGTTCAGAATCTCACATTAGCTAGCTAGCCTCAGCTATCCAGGCTGTTATTGTTGATGTGCCAGATTTGTTTGCTGTTATAGACATTGAAATTTCTAAATATATACAAGGCAGGTAAGGGAGAACCCTTCTTTCTAAGTTATCACAGTTATCAATAATTCGTTGAGGTAAAATTTTCAAAGACAATGAAGGCTGTTACTCCATGATCCTAAAGCTGTATCTAGCAACAAGCTTGAACTCGTTCACTCTTAAACATTAAGCAGGTCACCTGTTAGCACCTGACATGCAGTTAGACTTTGAGTATGTCTGGATATGTCACGCAGTGAGTGAGGATGATTATGTGCCTCAGTTGTAGGGCAGAAGAAGTTGTCTGCAGTCACCACCGTCCAAGAGTATAGTTGGAGCTAGCCAGTCAAGCAGTATTTGAGGTAGACAGGTTTAAATCTTACTGCCTTTTGTAGCCCTCACAGCAGAAAGGCAACGAGTTTCATATCCTTTCTCTGATGTGGGAGCATAAACCCACCTCCCCAGCCTTCTGGTAAGGTTATGTGACCCCAAAGTAGGGTTAGCTCAGTTAGGATGATCTTTAACTAGACCTTGGCCTTTTAGCAGAAACATATTTCATAACTCACTGGCTACGATGGTGTGAACTGTGTACCGTCAATGTGCTTATCCAGCTCTTGTTTGGCAAATTGTCTTTAAAAGGAGTTGGAGCAACTATTTCCTCCCCAGCACCCCCTCCCTCCCAAAAATGAAAATGTCATTCTACACCTTTTTGGTAGCTAAATGCCTTCTGAAATGTGGTCCTTTGTTGTGGGATCTTCACTGCATTGAAAGGCAGTTTTTGAATCGCAAGCTGAGGAAATCACACTGTAGTTTGGGATTCAGAAGTCACTTCAGTTCTTCTAAAGTAATTGTTCTTTCTTATCTTTGCTAATAAAGACTAATAATGGTCCAAATAGGGAAGTCACTTTTGATGATTACTTTTTGGGTTATGTCAAGGTGGTGAATTGAATTAATTGCTTAAAGCTGCTTTTGTTTATAGTTAAAGGTGTCCAAATAATGCATTTTCCCTTCTTGATAATTGCAGGAGACAATTTGAGGAGATGGTATCCCATTTTAATATGGGATCAGTGAAAGACCTTGCAGAACATATTGCTAAAGCTACTTCAGAAACAAGGCAGAAGATGTTGAAGGAATTTTATGTTTCCAAGCATCCAGAGATGGAGTCTTTCTTCTCAGTTGAAATACCAGCACAAGCTTCACATGACTATGAGGAAAGAGAGCTGGGTACAACACAATCCAGAAAAAGAAAATCCATTGTTCATTTTGGAAGATCTAAGTCTAGACCTTCCTTAGCAAAAGGACTACTTCAGAGTGGAACGACAGAAACACAGAGCCAGCAGGGCCATAAAGGAGGCCATAAAGGAGGAGAGCAGCTTCACACTGACTCCTGCTTGCAAGATGTGTTTGTTGATGCAAAATATAAACAATCACCCACTACTCAGCATATTGAAAGGAGAAACAGTCAGGCATTCAAGGATTTTATGACAACTGGCTCAGTAAGCAGTAAATCAGAAATAATTGAGGTGCTGCCTGTAAAAAGTCATGAAGGACAGCAGGACTCAGAAGGAACACAGCTGCAAAGAAAAAGATCCCTGTCTCAACCAGAAAATGGGGAGAGAAAAGCTCAGACTTGCAAGAAAAAGTCTTTTGTGGACTTACTTGGAGATACCTCTATTCTCAACGATCTCTTCAGAAATGATGAAAGTGGGCCTACAGGACCACCAAGGAGATTGACTTCAGGACAAATAGAAAAATCAAAAGAGAGACCAAAAGATTTCTGGGACATACTGAATGAGCAGAATGATGAGAGCCTCCGAAAGCTCACGGATGTAACAGTCGTAGAGAAGCTATGTGAAAAAGCACCTCATTGCACAGTGACAAAAGAGAGAGAAGTGTGTGAAAGTTCTCTTTGGAAGAAAAATGAAAGTTTTCTATGGAAAAAATACAGTGCAGATGATTCAGATGAACCGTCCACTGCTACATCTTGTAATGCAGTAGAATGAAAGTTTTCTGCTTCAGTTGCACTATAATTATTTTAGTCGAACATTGAAGAACTTCAGCAGTATGCAACAAAACATGGTAACTCCATGAAATTAAAGGCAAAATCATTAATTTTTGTCTATGGCAATACAGAATTACATTTTACAAATGTGAATATATGTGTAATTGCATATGCAGTGTATAGTACACATGTGCATAGTAATGCATATGTACTGTATATTGTAAGCTATGCTATATTTTAAATTAAATCTTTTTAGAATTTTTCTGAGTATACTTTGCTTTCTTTAATTCTGATTATATTCCTAGGCTCAATAGCAGTACTAAGTGATTTTTTTCCCCTTATTTACATTTAGACACCCTCAGTCACCTGAACACAAGCTAAGGATAACTGGATTTGACAATGGTATTCCATATATTTTCTGAGGTACTAGAGACTGAAGGACTTCCTGAGACAGGGACGATGTCTTTGTGTCTAATAGCTTGTGGTGGGTTCCTACCCTCTGAATTTGCTCAGTCACTCATAAGCTGTGAAGCTCCTAAATCATCAGTATCCATGACAGTGAGTTTCTTAGCTTGGTTGGTGTGAAGAACCACCAGTTTTTGTCTGTTTTGTCTGTTTGGTCTTTTTTATTACATGATGCTAAGTGTCAAATTTCATCTCTCATTGCACTTTCATCCTCAATTTTTTATTTTTATAGACTTAGGCCATATCTTTGTCAGTTGTTGGAATATGCAGTACAGTACATATGGAGTAAGGAGTTTCTACATCCTGACAAGTTATCATCTTCTGGAATGTTTGCGGTAATAAAACTTCCAAGTGAAAAACTGCTCTTCATAGATTAGAGGAGTGGTTATAATATATGCAATGTCGTATCTAATATGCCAAATAGTCTGCCTCATTTTTCAGTGGTGTGGGATCATGTGAAGGGTACCTTGTAACACATAACCAGGAGAGGCCAGATCTTCACATTGCTCTGGAAACCTTACCCCTAATCTTTGATTTTTGTAATCTCAGGTATAATGCTGTATTGGTATAGGGGTTTACATTGAGTATAAATTGTTTTGTTTGAAGGGTAAATATTAGGAAATTTTAAAACCTTGGACATGGAACCTGCACAGCAGCAGTCTGTGAATGGTGGTCGTTTTTGTGGTCTGGATATTTGCCCACTGGAAAATAAGTTTAAATTTGATTTGGAGCAGCTTCTACTTCAGGTCATGGGAAGCCATTGGAGGCTTTGCTCTGTCTCTGTGTTTACAATTGTGTGCATATTTTAAGTGGAAGCTGTCTGAAAACCTATCTGGGAAAGTATTTAGCATACATGTTGAAGTAATAAAAGCCTTGGGTCTTTACTGGTAGCTAACATAAGTGAGATTAATGTGTTCCCTAAGTTTTTCTCACCTTGAATCTATACTGTTACCACTTTATTATACAAAATTAAGAAAAAACTGAAATTTAGGAGTCAGGTGGAACAGCTTTAAAAACAAAAGCCTGAATTAAGAAAATGAAAGAAGAAACAAAACTGTTAGTTATTGGTAGACTTGAATTGTATACAGCTGAAGGAAGTCAGCTTAAGGCAGGGAATCTACTTCCTTCTTGTTGATGTTAATAAATAGGACATAATTTAAGGCCTTTTGTTGGAGGCATGAGTATTCATTTTCTTGCAGGTTAGCATTCCTAGACAAACTGCTACTTAGGTGCAGAAGATTTGGTGGAATAAAGAATATGGTCATTAAATATATTAAAAACTGCTGTGTAGAGGAAGGGACTAGTCCCTTTGTGTCTACAGCAGAAAGAGAAGTTATATGGCTTAAACTGCACTAAAGATAATTGAACTTAAATAATAGGGGCAGCTCTGCAAAGGCAAGTGTTAATCATTGTGTAGTGACAGTATTGGACATAATCAAGAATAGGAGAGAAAAATGCCTGTTAAAAGCTGCATATGCAAAACTCTTCTTTTCAGGCCAGCAGGAGGGACTGATAACTTCTCAATCTGAGGCCTAGAAGGGGCTAAATAGCCTTGCTGATTTCAACTGATACTGGGGCACTAGAGAGAGGCTTCACCTGAGCACCATGTTTGCTAGTCATGGTCTGAATCAGTGGATACTAGGGCTGACAAAATTTGCTTGAGATAAGGTAAGATTTCTCTTTTTACTTCTTTTAAAAGAACTTTAGAGCACTGGAACTATATGGGTAGAAGGCTGAATTGCAGGACTGATTCCCAAGTACAAAGGCATCATCATTTTCCTGAAGTAATCAGGAAATGGTTTCTCATTTATAAGGTGATGATATGCATAAATCAAAGCTTCCATGGATGTGCATGTTTTATTCACATGTATGCCAAATACTGGTGGTATATTTGTGGAAAGGCATTTGTTATTTGCAATTGAATTGAGCTATGGGATGATGTCTTGAAGATTTATGTCATTCTGTAGCCTCCTGTGCAAATTTAATGTATTTACAAAGGAATATCACTTAAGCCATAAAAACTGCAGTTTAGTGCCCTAGGAATCTGTCTATAAAATATTTGTGTTGTGAAGAAGATGTCTGTGTGATTTTAAAAAAAGAATCTGAACAGATTTTTAAAAAGAATAATTTTACCTTATACTTGAAGGCATGGCCTAAAAATATTCAAACTGAAGAGATCAATTTCTTGAAGATCTGTGATTATAATTTTGTTTAGCTGTAAAAATGAAGGAGGCTTTGGGGCATGCTGTGTTTAGGCTTATGGTAGTATGGAATTCCTACAAGCTCCTGCACAGTTGCAGGGAGGCATGGACTACAGGAAAACTCTTAACAGCCTTCTAACATAAGGAAATAGCTTCATGGTAGTTATCACCTTGTATCAATAGAAATCATCCGTGAGGAGAAGGGTGTTATCCCTTTCACCTGGAAATGGCTTGCTAGGTTTTTACTGTTCCATGTTGCAGTTCCCTTGTTCTTTCACTCAGTGGAGTTCCTATGGGTCTGGCTCTGGGTCCGTGACATAGCAAGTGGTACCAATAGTTTCTAATGCCTTCAATTGAAATTCTTTGGAAAAAAAATAGGTTGCCAGTGAAATAGTAAGAAATCTGGCCCTGCCTATGCTAAGAAATGCGACTATCTCAGCAGCCAGTTTACAGAACTCTCACCAGACCCAGGTAAAAACAGTGTGTCCTGATTCTGATTTCCTATGTGCTTCAGGTTTTGTGTGTTTTGCAAACTGGGGATATGCTTATAACTACATTTGGGGGTAACCATGTAGTACACAGATTTCATATTTGATCTCGGTGAGGGAGACTGAATGATTTCAAGTAATGAATATATTTGAGAAAGTTAGGGTGTGCATCAAACATTTTGTGAACACATTAAGGTGGTTTGAAGAATGTACTTGCTCAGCTTCAGCAGGTCATGACTTTGAGCACTGTAAGGTAGATTGATGCCAGTACTATGACTTCAGCACACTGAGTAAAAGCAACATTAATAGAAGGAGAGGGTAATTGGTAATAGTGTAATCAAAGTATCACAGGAGACTTCAAAGGTGATAATACAGTTTACCACCTACAAAAAAAGATGGTTTAAATTACTTCTTTAGGAATCTCAAGTGCAGAAAGGGGAGAGGATTTTCTTCCAAGGAAACATTCAACTGTCTTTGCTGCTACATAATTTCCTGTTCCTGCAGTGCCCTGCATATTTTATTCATTGCATACTGTATGAAACTTTGGCAACAAATGAGCTAATATTGTTAGGGAACTCTCTCTCCTTGTGTTTGCACATTCCATGATCCAGTACATCTAACTTGGTGCATTCTGTAGAAGAGGAATAATGACCATCTAAGTAGACTTCATGCCAGAATCTACCTTCCAGATACATGAACCTGAAAAGTAGATAACTGGCTTAAGATAAGTAAATGCAATTTCTGGCATTGAAACTGGGTGTCTAGCTTGGAGATGAGAGAGCTAGGCAGTAATTCAGAGCATTTAAGAGGCATGCCTCTTGTCCTGTAGATCATATGTGGGTCATAGCAAGGTCCCTGTGATACTAAATCAGTCTGTGTCTCATGTTGATTCTGCCAGCTAATTCTGAAACAGGAGGAAAGTAAGTCTAAATGAGATGACTGCAGGGTTTCGTGTTGTTTGCTTGGCATCCTAACATTTGTTTAGCTGGCATCCAAAAAGCTGTGTTTTCTTTTACAAAGACCAAGTGAAGATTGTGCTCTAAAGTGAAAGACATAATTGAATGTAAGCATGATGCATATGCATGCTACTTGAGGACAGATTGTCTCAGTTGTTCTCTGAGTTTGCTTCTGAGAGGATGGAATTGAGTGGTCAGAACTTGACTATGTGTCAACATGCAGTATGACTAAATTGAGATTGCACACATAGCTTACACAAACTGAAGCATAAACTGACACACTGCACTAAAGCATTGTTTTCTGAATATGCGTATGGGCAGCATAATTACATTACAATGCGTGTTGGTCTGTTGTAGCAGTTTACAATGGACGAAGGTTGGTTATATGTTTGCTATCGACATTCTTGATCTCTAATGCTGCACCTGTGAAAAACAATTACAAGGCAATGGGCATAGCTAGGATGCTGAACGAATACCAGCTCAACTCAGAATGAATCTGTATTTTACTTCAACAAGACTGTTTATATTAGAGCAATTTTATGATGGTTTGATATTGTTTCCATCGAGTGAACACTCATGTAAACATGATGTCCCATATCACCCTGAAAATCATTCTATGCTAGTTACTTTGAAAACAAATACCAGGTGATGTTTATATTTGTTTGAGGTAAATGCTCACAACTGTTGTCAGCACTTGCCTCTCCATGATTCAGGCTATGATGAAGTTCTGCCACAGTTTCTGGTTGTTCTGGTTTATAGCTCAATGGCAAAGAAAACAAATTCATACTGTGGTCTGTTTGGGAATGTTAATGTAAGCAGCTCTAAGAAAGATTATTTTTTTTTTCTTAAAATTTCACTTTTGTGCTTTGGTCTCATCACCTCTACGGTAGA